ACATTTATCTATTATATCGTACTGCAAATGTTCTTCGGTTGTTTTTTGTTTTTGTTTTTTAATTTTAAAAAAGCTTGTCTTGAGACTGGAAAATAGCATATCTATAGAAAAATTTGCCTGCCATCCTATTCTTCCCCAGCCTTTAGGATTTTGTGTCTGTTTTATGTTGAGGGGCCTGTACAAAATCTGGACCTCTGAGAAGTGCTGTTTGGTTCTCCTGGTGAAGCTGATGTGAAGACATAATCTCTGTAGCAAAGGAATTTGCTGGCAGGCCAATGTCACAGTCAAGGCACAGGTTTCATTCCATCATTTCATTTCAATCCCGCCTCTCCTCCAATGTGCACAAGGCAGTGTACATGGCATGTCCTCCTCCCTACAACAATCTTGTCAAGTAGGCCAGCCTGTCGGAGAGTAACTGGCTCAGGTCACCCAGTGAACTTTCTGCCAGTCTGTTCAGGTACATACTCATCATGCATAGAAGGGAGCAGATTGTCTACACTTTCACACATGAAGGGTGGACAGCTCTGCGGAGAGGAGCTCTGTTATCCACAGAGGCTCTCCATGTGAGTTAGAACCCTGTTTTTCTTGTGGATCTCCTGTGGAGCATTTTTACTTCAGACTTGTTGCCCTCCATGTCTAGGAAAGTGATGAAAGGGATGCTGGAGGATCAGTTACCTGGATTTACCAACATTCACCCAAAGATGCGCTAAATGTGACTTTGAGACCATATGTGGGCTCCAGGAACAGAACACAACTCTTGGTATTACTGCCTCCCCAGACTAATTTTTTAAAAAATTCCTCCGAAGTTTCTCTTTGGGCCCTCCAGGGGGCATGGGGTAATTTTGGCATATGTTAGGGGGGTTTCAGTCCCCTGGGCCTCTCCCTCTCCCCCCCCCCACACACACAAGTGAAGTCTCCCCTTCACTTTCGTCCATGCTTAAGAGAAGGAAGGCTGGAGATGGGAGATCAATTTGAATTGAGTGCTTCAGGCAGTTAACAATTGAAGAAGGAACTTGATGGATAGCCAGTTTGCAAATCGCCTGTTGAAGTGTTGACTTGGCACCATGGTTAACTCAGAAGAGGGTAGGGGCATTAATATGTGACATGGGGAAGAACAGGAGGTATCTCAGGATTACATGAATTGTAGGGCACTCCTCTCAGATAAAGTCATGAGATGGCAGAGTTTTGAGGTACAGAGGTTTGAGCAGTGTTGTTTAATTATTTTAAATCAAGAGTCTGCTTCTATGTTGATGTTCTTTAATGGCTTTTTCATTGTCAAACAGATAATTCCACATGCATCAACGTCTATACATTCCCTTTCTTCCTCCTTTCCCCTGTATATTAACTATATCGTCATGACTGCTCCTGAAGTTTTGAACTACAGTGCTAATTATTGGGTCGGACTGCTGTGAGTTGTAATTTAAAATGTTGTCCGGGCACTAGCTTAGAGAAGGTTTGTTGGGAGGATGAACTGCAGCAAACCTTGACCTCCTGTATTTGCTGCTGTTCTTCTGAGCAAACCCTTGCAGAAGACTTCAAAAGTTTTTCCTTACATTTTAGATGAGACACACTGTCATGACTGCCAGAGCCTAAATGTTAACTGAGATTTGTTGAAACATACTTCAAAACATTTAGAAAGCTTACTTGTTTCGACAAACCACAGTTAACCCACTGTTTAGGGCAGGCTTGTCCAACCTGTGGCCTGTGGGCCGCACGCAGCCCAGGTCAGCTTGTAATGCAGCCCAGTGCAATTTTTTTATTTTTAAAGAAATTCCAAAGTTTCAAGTTACACTGCCGGCACTTGTGGCCGGAATGCGGCCAGGGCACGTCACAACGGTGGGGGGGAGGGAAGGAAGGAAGGAGCGGGAGGGGACAAGGGGGGCTGCGTGAGTGCATTGCGCCGTTCCCGTCAATAGTTGGACCCCATCCTGGCCCCATAAAGCCACTGGAGTCGAAGCTGGCAGCCTCTGCTGTCTGAGATCGCAGCTGCTGGTAAGCGTGCTTGGACGGGGGCTGCAGGGGATGGCTAGGGCTGCCCCCCCCATGTAGCCCAAACCAAATTTATGTGCGGCCCAAACCAAATTTTCATCTTCTAATGTGGCCCAGGGAAGGTGAAAGGTTGGACACCCCTGGTTTAGGGTTTTGTACAGCATGCCAAACCAGAGTTTGGAATATGATTTTTGGAAGAAAAAAAAAGCTCATTGGTTACTCAGAGCAGCCTCGAGTCCTTTCTTTGAGAGAAAGACTGCATAATAATTTAATATATAAATACTATGAGGCAGTAGGATTGATCATTATCAGTCCTCTGTTCATTGCACTGCCCTTGCCAACACACTAAAATAATAAATAACTTAAATAGGGAGATACTTTTTGCTTCCCTACAGTTCCCAGGCCTGATATGGCACCTTGAAAATACCGTGTTTCCCTGAAAATAAAACAGGGTCTTATATTATGTTTTGCTCCAAAAATGCATTAGGGCTTATTTTCAGAGGATGTTTTATTTTATTTTTTTCATGTACAACAATCTACATTTTTTCAAATATAGTAATGTCATCTTGTTCTGATTGGTGCACAATGGCAGAAGGTGGGGTTTCACTTAATTAGGGCTTATTTTTGGGGTAAGGCTTATATTATGAGCATCCTGAAAAATCATACTAGGGGTTATTTTCAGGTTAGGTGTTATTTTCAGGGAAACAGGGTACTGTAATAAATATAGAAAATGAAACAAAATATTACTTGTCACTTGAGACTGAAAAAAGAAGACATTAAACTTAAAAATTCCTGTCAAAATGCCTTAAAATTGTATTTTAGTAGGTAATTGGAAAATGTGGCTTGTTTTGCCACAAGGTAACGTTATAACTACCTGTTATGTGATTTTGAAGTGTAACTTAGTTACACCTTTGTTACCCAAAATAACTAAGTTATATTTCAGGTTTGTGTGAAACTAAAGTTACTCTGAAATAGAAGAAGAAGCTTCCAGTTTCTTTGTGACCCCATCCCATCAGTGGAGAGGGAAGAGATCAGGATACAAGGCCAAGACTCACACAGGCTTATTCTAGTGGCAATGAAAGATGACATAGCATTGTGTGCAAATTCAGCCAATTTGTAGCAAGCTTTAATACAGTTCATACCTACCAAACAATCACAAGATGTTGTCTGCCTCATAACAGATAATAACAAATGGGGATGGAGGGTGGGGGGAGAGTATTGTTAGCTGTTGTATATCTTTTATTTGTTTCTTGAATTTTTATACTGCCCAATTAGTGTGAGGCACTAATCAGGGCAATTAATAATCAAATCTATTTTAGTAATACAGTGGTGCCTCGCAAGACAAATGCCTCGCAGAACAAAAAACTCACAAGACAAATGGTTTTGGTGATGGGGTTGATGACTCACAAGACAAATGTTCCTATGGCCGTGTTTCGCAAGACGAATATTTTCCGTTTTTTTGTTCCTGCCTCATGTCTGCAGATATTTAAATGTTTTTCTATGATGTTTAAAAAGTTAAAGTTTTTTTATTTAAATTTTTGAAATCATCTGCACAGTATGTATGGCTTTAAAGAGCACTTAATAAGCCCTTTGTAAAGCAATTTTGACTTTGTTCTGACTTTTTTTGCCCATAGGAACACATTAATTAGATTTCAATACATTCCTATGGGAAAACGCGTTTCGCAAGACAACATTAACCGCGGAACGAATTAAATTTGTCTTGTGAGGCACCACTGTACAGCAAAACTACAGCAAAACTCTCTCTCTCATATAAAGTAAATCAAATCAAAGACAGCATAAAACTAGCAGATTGCTCAACATCAAAAACAAAAGATGGGCAGCCAGAAACAGTTTGGCAGCCCTTCATGAAATGATGCTCTGAAAAGCTTCAGTAAAGAGCATTGTCTTCAACAATCTCTTAAAGGTTGGAAGGAGAGGGCCAGGCACAGTTCAATCAGAAACCCATTCTAAAAGGCTGGTGCCATAATGAAGAAGGACCAGTTTCTGGCGGAAGTCTTTCTGGCATAGGGTAGCCTAGGGATACAGTTTTTATGTCAGTTGCCCTGAAAGGGCTATACTGTTTCTAGGTGTTTCACAAATAAACAAGAAACGGCGAAATGGATGTCGAGCAGCTGGAACTCTGAGCCTTTAATGTGCCATTTTACGTGTAGGGCTTTCCTATGACGAAGGCTTCAGCTGCGAGAGGAATGAGATTTTGTGTCATTTCTTGTGAGAGAAATTAAATCAAATAAATCATGCACACATTTGTGTGCAACAAGCTTTGTCATGTGGAAGAGATTCTCCCTCTGCGAGGATTGATTTTCCTTGTCCAAGACTGCTCTGCAAATGGAAGCTTGCGCCAAAGTCAGAAGAGAATCTTTGGATCATGGCCAGTAGTAGTTGGGGTAGTGGTTAGGGTGGATAGGTGAAACTAAAAGGCACACCTGGGGAGGGGGATTGTTGGTTTCCCTTTTTAAACATAAAAAAGAAAGAAAAAAACCTCAGTGGTTGGTTGAAAAGAACTTGTGCCTCCCCTGATCTTTGAGCTGTATGCTTGCTGATTGACACCTGAGTGAGTGCAGGGATCACCTGGGAAAGCACTGGACACCAGGGATGCTGTGTAAATTCTGTCTGCTGGATTTTCTAATGGCCTATTCACAAAAATAATTTTGTGTCATCAAGTCTATTTCAACGTACAATGACCTTTCACTGGATTTTATAGATACAAAATACATGGGAGTGGTTTATCAGTGCCTTTTTTGGAATGGGGGTGGGGTTCTCTGGGACCACAGCATTTACTCAAGGCCATACAGGTTGGCTCTGGAAGCAGCAGGGAGAAATCCAAGTCCTGATCCCAGACACTCCAACTCTGAACTGTCCATTCAGCTTCCAACGGAAGTATTTCAGCCATCAGGTATCTGGCATCTCCTCTTGTGGAATGGAATTGGAAATGGTTGTTTTGTAATGCTATGTTGTACTTAAAACTGAAACGTGAATGGTTGTTCCTACAGGTGGCTTTGTTGAATTTTCCAGTTGTTTCCCTGGCCTTTGTGAAGGAAAATCTGTTTTAGTCCCTTCTTGTATTTCTCAACCCTGCTTACCAGTCTCCAACACTGGGCCAACCCGGATTCTTCCTCATCTTTACCTTGGGTGCCAAAGAGATGTCCTCAACAAGGTAAGTGCTTTGAAATATGGTGCTGCTTACTAATGGAGGTAAAGGACAACTTTGGCTCCTTTTGATGTTTTGTGAAAATATTATTCTATGTTTTTTATGGTTCTCTGTTGCCTCTCAGCCTCCGTTGATTTACTTGATTAGTGACATCATCACTTAACTCAAACTGATTTGAAGGAGGTTTGATCAGCAAGACTTTTGACAGTTGTGAAAAGTTTTCTTTCTAGGGTGACATATTTAAACTACACATTCCATGGCCTGGTGACATAGTGACTGGAACATCACTATGCTTCATAACAAACCCGTTTTGGCTATGGAATAATATCCTTATTAGTTACTTAGTTAAGTAAAATTTACTGGAGTTCAGAGCAAGAGGTGTAATCTGGTGGATATACAAAATTTTCATGAAAAACAAGAGTCCTGATTAGAAATAAAGAAAGCATTCCCCCACAACAACTGGTTTCAGCTTTGCTTCCCTCTAATAAAAGTTACTTTCTTAAGACTGATTTTAGCCATCTTATTAATGGCCGCCATTGGCTGTTTCTTCTTCTTTTTTGCAGGAGTTGATGCAGCAGAATGACATTAGCTATGTATTAAATGCCAGTAATACTTGCCCCAAGCCTGACTTTATCCCAGAATCCCACTTCTTAAGAGTGCCTGTGAATGATAGTTTCTGTGAGAAGATTTTTCCTTGGCTGGACAAATCTGTCGACTTTATAGGTAAAATAATTCTCTTTTACTCAAACATGCCTTCTCTGAGATGATTCTTGCATGGTCAACAGAAAAGCAACCGGGAAACCTTTTTATGTATCACTGTTGCTCCTTGGTAACAAATATCTTTTCAGCGAAAAGGCTGGAAATGAGAAATAACCAGGTCACTTGTCTTTTTTTTTTTAAAGTAATGATGGCAGATGGTGCTGTTTTAACCATTATTTATGTGATGTAGACAAACATTTTCAGTATTTTTAAAATGGTAAATGTTTTATTCATAACAAGTAATGCCTGCTTGTTATTGCACAAGGATATGGTGTGTGTGTGTGGGGGGTGTTGGCTGCTTTCAAGAGTCTTTCTCTAAAACTAGGATAAAAATCTTCCCTTTCTCTACTTAAATATTATTTGGAGTTATTTCACTCATTTTTTCAGGCCCACATAGTATTTTCTTAGAAAACTGAAAGTGACATTCCAGTCACTTTTGGTTTCAGAAAATGGGTTATGTATTACCTGTGTCAACAGAGCTACTGAGTGTATAACTCATGCAAATTAGTAAGTCACTCTAGACCAGAGAGATCTGATCTGCTGTGATTTTCTAGGCCCAGGAGAACTGATATGTAGCCTAGGCTTTGTAATATTAATATCCCCCTCCTAACATGTTTTTGGAAGAGGGCTGTCTGTCCTCTTGGTGCATTTCAGGTATAGGTCCCCTGTATTAGCTCCGCATTTTGTCAAGTAAAGGTGTTTCATATTACTTTGAAAAGGAAGATTACTGCAGTGGTGGTAATATTTCCTGGTATATTCAGACTAGACATCAGTGGGGCATGAGCAACAACATGCATTCTGAGATGACATCCTCATTAACTGGATTTCAGTAGTTTGTTCAGATTTTTTTTTTTTTGCCATGGAAAATGTTTCGTCTGTGTTTTATTGCAATGCAAAGTGTCTGACAGTGAAAATACACTGGGCTAAATCTATTCCAGCTAGAATAGGCCCACTGAATTAATGGCATTTACCAAATATTGGCTCAACAAATGCAGTTCATTCAATGGGTCTGCTCTAGGGACTAATACTTGGTGTTTACCCTCTGTTTGTGTACCTGGCTGACTCTTTCCTTAGTTATAGGCCTTCCCCCCCCCCCACCTTATATTTTCTTTGTCAAAAACATGCGGAAATGTTTCATCAACAAACAGCACAATCCTGTAGAAAGCAGCTGCTGCTTTTATTTTGATTGCAAAATCTTATGTGTTTTAAGACATGTTCTGTTCTCTTACGTTCAGCCATCCTGCTCATCTGAAGTGAGCAAGAAATATTTATCAGCAACAATGAAGGGAAAGTTTTGTTAGCAGGATTGGAAGCGCATTTGATTCTTATTTTTTCTCTTTTTAAAGATCATGATGGTGTGTCATAACTGATATAAGTGCCTATTGACAGATGGATTAGTAAAAATATTTGTGAACTAGTAACTTCTGTGTTAAGAGTTTGAGAGGAAACATGGAAAAATAGTTAGGGGACGATAGCAGAACATTACACTCACCGAGTCCTGAATTGCCTCCGTGTGTCAGACATGGCACGCAATAGTAACCTGTAATCCTTACACTCCCTAATCCTCAATTTCACCAGGAAAGAACTGTATTCTGCTGAATACTCTCATGGTTGTCCCTCGTGTCAATGGATGCATAAACACAAGTAGTGGTTTAGTATGATCTCTTTGTTCAGTTTATCTCTGTAATTTAGTTTGGTGCAACAGAAACAAGAGTGATGGCTCAAATTATATATGTATTTATTGGGCATTGTTACTTGACTGTGAGCAGAGCATGACATGCTGCCAGCCTGGCTGCACCCATTTTCCATGTGGAGATTGCCCATTAAAGCCAATGGGGCTGTGGCTTGTGCAAAGAGATACAAGAGACCCCCTTGCACAAGCTCCATACATGTCGTATTGCTAGAAGAGCAGAACATGGTGAGAATGGAATAGGGGAACAGAATTTTGCCCATTATAGTTAAAGCTTTAGAATTTCAAGATACAGTTGTGAATGTCTGTAATTATTTTTCATAGAAGGTGGACTACAGTTGAGTTAAACAAGGAGCTGCCTTTTTAAGGTACTAAAAATACTCACCTTCATTGTACAACTGGGAGGAATTTGAGGTTTTTTTAATTGTTTGAGCATTTCTTAAAGGAGGGATTTGCTCATTTTTGTATTTTAGAACACAAATGTCTGACCTACTATTTCTTTCTTCTTTTCTTTTTTCTTTTCCCACAGAAAAAGCAAAAGCATCCAATGGTCGTGTTTTGGTTCACTGCTTAGCTGGAATATCCCGCTCTGCCACCATTGCAATTGCATACATAATGAAAAGAATGGATATGTCCTTAGATGAAGCCTATAGGTAAGAAACAGGGCTCATTTTCTTGGCAAAATCAATACAGAGAGCTGATGTCAAAGATCTGCAGCGTGACTGCTAGTATAGCTTCTACAGTGGTGCCTTGCAAGACGAATGCCTCGCGGGACAAAAAACTCGCAAGACGAATGGTTTTGGCAATGGGGTTGATGACTCGCAAGACAAATGTTCCTATGGCCGTGTTTCGCAAGACAAATGTTTTCCTTTTTTTTTCCTGCCTCATGTTAGCTGATTTTTAAATATTTTTCTATGATGTTTAAAAAGTTAGTTTTTTGATTGAAATTTTTGAAATAATCTGCACAATATGGCTTTAAAGAGCACTTAATAAACCCTTTCTAAACTAATTTTGACTTTGTTCTGACTTTTTTTGCCCACAGGAACACATTAATTAGATTTCAATAGATTCCTATGGGAAAACGTGTTTCGCAAGACAAATTTTTCGCAAGACGACATTAACCACGGAACAAATTAAATTCGTCTTGCGAGGCACCACTGTATATGATTTAGGTAGGGGCTTTCTTCATGTTTGAAGGAGAAGCCTACATGGAAAACATTGCTTGATATAGAAAGGGAAAGGGAAAGGATTTTTTGGAAGAGCTGTGAGTCTTTAGAAAGCTTAGGGAGAACATTCTTCATTTATAGAATCTGTACTGTTTGCAGAATAGGCTATCTCAGTCTGCCTCTGGCAGGACATGGGCTGTCTACTGAATTCATCTCTGACATCAGAGGGTTACTAATTTTTTCCCCCAAAAAAACTTTCTGTTTAGGTTTGTGAAAGAGAAGAGACCAACTATTTCTCCCAACTTCAACTTCCTTGGCCAACTTCTGGACTTTGAGAAGAAAATAAAGAGTCAGAGTGGCCAAGCAGCACCACTCAGCAAACTCAAGCTTTTGCATTTAGAAAAAAATAGTGACCATGGACTGGGAAGTGGACAGAGCAGCAGCCTCCGCTCCTCTTCTCAGCTCTCAACTACGTCTACCTCAGAGACTGTGGAGCAGAAGCCAGTGGAATCTGGAAAACTGCCGGGTTGCTCATTGCTATCATTAGAAGACAGCCCCTTGGTACAAGGCATACTTGGGCTAAACATGTCCTCTGATAAAGTTGAAGACAGTAATAGGCTGAAGCGCTCCTTTTCCTTGGATATCAAGTCTGTTTCATGCACGGCTAGCAGCAACTGTGTTGCTCCTTCTGGACAGGGCTACACCTCCTTGGAGGACACCTTAGAATATTACAAGCATTCAGCCACCTTGGAAAGCAGCAGCAAATTGTGCCAGTTCTCTCCTGTTCAGGAGGTTTCAGAACAGACACCTGAGAGTAGCCCAGACAAAGAGGAAGCCAAGCTTCCTGAGAAATCCCAAAATGCCTGGCAGCTGGACAGCCAGAGCAAATGGCAGCCCTCGGGGAGAACCACTAGTGGCACGCAGAGGTCGCTCTTGTACCCACTGCACCGGAGTGGCAGTATGGAAGATAACTATAGAACAAACTTTGTCTTTGGCCTTTCGACCAGTCAGCAGCATCTGGCCAAGTCAGCGGCTGGGCTGGGCCTGAAAGGCTGGCATTCGGACATTTTAGCTCCTCAGGCTTCTGCAGCATCTCTGACCAACAGCTGGTATTTTGCTGCGGACACGTCTCACTTTTATTCTGCTTCTGCTATATATGGGAGTAGCACTGCCTACTCTGCTTACAGCTGCAGCCAGCTGCCCACAGGCTGTGAGCAAGCCCATCCTGTGCGCAGGAGAGAGAAGCATGGCGACCGGGGAGACTCTCGTCGGAGTTGGCACGAGGAGAGCTCCTTTGAGAAGCAGTTTAAGAGAAGGAGCTGCCAGATGGAGTTCGGGGAAAGTATAATGTCAGAGAACAGGAGCCGAGAGGAGCTGGGGAAAGTGGGCAGCCAGTCCAGTTTTTCAGGCAGCATGGAGATTATTGAAGTATCTTGAAACGTGATTTCACACTTCATGTGTAAAAAAATTCCCTGTAAATCTGAAATTATGGATTGTGGGGCTTCAGTGTGTGAAGGATGTTATGGGGTGTGTGTGTGTCTGTCTGTCTCTGTGTGTGTGTGTATTAAAGAGAACTTTTAATGATAAGTAAAAAAATGTGCAGTGATTGATCAGCTATCTTCTCTTGCCTATTATTACCACCCTTAAGGCAGAAAGGGCAGCTATCTTCATTTATCTTGATCAGGGAAGGGTAAAGTTCAACTTTCTGAATGTTGCTGGACTACAACTCCCAGCCTTCCTTGCCCTTGGTTGTGCTTGTGAAGAGGAAGAGGAGCTGCAGTCCAACAACATTTGAAGGACTGCACTTTGCCCACCTGTGCCCTTTGACAGATGAAACAGAACTAGACAAAAGAACTGCATGTCTTGTTTGTGTTTAATGGATTTTCCTTCATAAATCTGGCCAATCATCTGGTTCTACTGAATTATTTGTTTGAAAGCTCAGCTGCAGAAAGCTCTTTCTATCCCCCCCAAGTGCAAGAATGCATCTGAACCTGAGACTGAGCCGGCCTTTGAAGATTATTTCCTTGGAGTGGGGGTGGTAGTGGTGGTGGAGGATAAAAGTACACTCCTACTGTTAATTGTTTAGGAGGAAGGTTGGACTGAGAACAAGTCTGTCATGAGGCTGTATTGTGTGAATGCCGACTTAATGGTTTTTGATGACCAACATGTCAGAATAAGAAGCTTGAACTGGTGTGTTTTTGTTTGTTTGCTTGTTTGTTTTCTGGCACTCCACCAACCTGGTTGCTTGTCAATAGTTGTTATGTGGTGTTCTTTTAAGGATAAAATGGATTTCAAGCTCTCCACAAACACCAATACTCTCATTGGCATCCAAGATATTAAAACATTATGGTCTCCACTAAGCCTACATTTGTCCCACAGTTTGTGCGCATGCATGCTAAAGCATGTTTTGGAAAATTAAGACCTCCTGTTAGGTTTCTCCCTCTCCATCTGTTAGTATGTACTGAGCAGGTGGCTTTAGTCCAAGGAAGAAAGGATGCAATAGCATTCTGTGACACAGGGAAGCATCACTGCTTTCCAGAAGGAATGGTTCTAATCCATGGCCTGGCTGAGGAGAAAGATGGGTTTGTGGGAGATGATATTAACTGGTCTGGGTTTTTGTTTTGTTTTGTTTTTGCAATGAATATTCTGTCAGTTCTTTTTGGAGATAACTCAAAATATACGTATCACACCACACTCAGATCCCAATGTCATCCTGCCAACAGTTCCATATAGAAATACTATGGGGTTGATACTGGCAGGCCCTATAAGAGATCTGAAGTAGCCACAGCATGGGACTTTTGCCAGATAAGGAGAAAAAAAAGAAAAGGATATTGTTGAGGAAATCCAGACTGGCTAATGTGGGGGACAGCAAGACAATTCAGTCTTAGAGCTGGGCTGTTTGTATTCCGTAGCCTTTTGTTTTCAAGCTTTTCCTCCTCCTTCAGAGGAAGGGACTGTCCGGCATTTGTACCGTGGTCCACACTGCTTTTGTCCTTCTAGAAGTGAGACTCAGATTTACCCTGTCCTCTGTATATTTTTAATTTTGGGATCAAATGGGAGTGTCATGTAATTGGGTTTTAGATAAGAAATGAAAAGTGTTGAGTAAATCTGAATTTGGCTAATTCAAATTTAAAACAATAATAAAAGTACAACTGCAGAAAGCACTGATGTCCAAGTGATAAAAAAGATGTATAGTTCTTAATAAATGGGGTTCTAAATGCACAGAAACAGGAATCTGATCTTTTCTTCAGTCCCCATTTCTCTGTATAAAGCACAAAACCATTGAGTACTTTTACTGCTACATTTATTCTTTTTTAAAAAAACCCACACAACAACAACCCAGTTTTTTTCTATATCCCACAAAATCAAAGTGAATATGAGAAAATGGAAGAAGTATGACTGTGTACTGTAATATGCTCGGGAGATGTGGGAAAGAAATGAACTTTATAGGGACCTGGTTTATCATTATAGAGTAAAACTAGTAGGAGTCTGCAATATAGTCAGTATAACGTGCTATCAAAGTACTGTAGTATATCAGCCTCAGTTTTGTTCTTCAAGGTAACTTAATTTCAACTTCACCACAAACCCAATTTCATCCGTAAGCAGAATAGTGTTTCTCATGAATGGATGCAGCACTCATAACGTACCAGTACTTGAAAGCTCAACTGGTCCACCACATAGTACGAGACTAACCTACAGTTTCTTATTTGGAATTATACTATATAATGAAAGGTAAATAATAATGTTTTAAAAGGCAGTCACCAGCATCCATTTTTGAAGAATGTTTTAGATTTTGAAAGGAAAACACTCAGGAAGACAACTTTATGGGCAAATTCTGATTATGTACTCCTGCTGGATCCCACTCTTTCCCCAAGGACTGATGCAGTTCCTTCCCAAAACACCCTTAGCAACCTCCTCTGGACTGCTGGTAACACTCTGGAGAAGGTTGCTGGCTAGACATTGGCTATTTGTATTTGCATCCCTGGGGATACCACAGGTGCCACGGAGGCCCATTTCCTCCTCCCAGAACCAGCCAGTCCACCTACTGTTTGCAGTATGGCACTCAGCTCTGTTGTCGTCATTGCTCCAATTGCGGCAGGAGCCCGGCTGGCTCTTCCCTGCCTCCCAGAGCAGCTGACCATTTTGGTGCAGAGACAGGATAGGGAGTCTCCCTGATCAGCTGATGAGTGGGTGGCTGGGCAGGGAGGTGGGAAAGAGCCAGAGAGGCTCCTTCCATGATTGCTGCAATGGTGAAGATTGAGCCTGGTGTTGCATGGCAAACAGTATGTGGACTAGCTGGTTCTGGGGAAAGGGAATGGGCCTCTGTGGCACCTGTGGTACCATGGGTCATATTCAAATCCCTAAGGATACTAATTCGAACAGCCCATGTCTATTGCTGACATCATACAGGCTGCAGTAGGAGGAAAACAGAAGGAAATCCCAGTTCCTCTAGGTCCAGGATAACAAAGTACACCATTGGAGCTTGGCCTCTGCTATTTTGCTTATAGAAGAGTAGCCAAAAGTTAGAAATGACAGTTATAGCCTAAGTCTTTTTTCACCTTTAGATCAGGATGGTTGGTCAGAATGTCTCTACAATTTGTACTGTTTATTTAAAATAGCTGCATACTGCATTTCAACAAGAATTAATGTCAAAATGTTTCAAAATAATAATCCAGTTTTAAATATGAATACACCAACAAAAAAGAGCAAACAGATGAAAATTAAAATGGCTCAGTGTCAAAACTGTACAATTATCTGGCACAACAAAATCATGCTAACCAGGTTTCAAATCCTCCTCTTAATGAAGAGTATCCGGTTCCTTCCCCCCCCCCACCATACATCAAAGTCTTTTCTCAAATTAAGTAAGAACAGGTATATAAGAGCAACTTTCTGTGTTTGTATTCCAAGACTTGGGAGATAAGAGAGAGTTCTGGGTTTTTTGGTAGTGCTGGGAGGCAGTGGAAGACAGAAGGGCCTGGCGTGCTCTGGTCCATGGGGTCATGAAGAGTCGGACATGACTTAACAACTAAACAGCAAACAACAACAAAATGCATAACCTGATAATAAGCCTCAGGATTCCTCAGGACCTGGCCAGAAGAGGAAATGCCACAATGAAAGAGAACACAAATGCTTGCAGGTGAGTAAGAAGCTGTACAAAAATTAGGAGTACCATGATATTTTCCACACCAGGCTAAATACACGTCGGACCAGGGTGGATAAAGATTAAATTTCATTTAAATAAAAATATTTTTATTTAAATAGTCAAAGAGCCGATTTTTAAAATTTAAATTGTGATCTAAATTGTGATTTAAATCAAATCCACCCTGCATAGGACTGGATGAAGACTGGGTGTTTTCCTCAGGAAAAAAAGTTGGTTTCTGTTCTGTAGTTATGGCAAGTTTTGTCAGCATTTGTATGAGGCGGATATTTGCTTTAAATATGGAAAGCAGCTGTAATATAGCCTCCATAGCCCATGTAATTCTACTTCAATGCTTAAAACAGCAAATCTCCAAAGCTGCACTTAAGTTACAAAATATAAGAGACAGAAGCCAAAACAAACCATGGCCCTGCCCTTAAATTGAGAATTTAAAGTTGTCTGACCATGTTTTAGGGATATACCAAGCCCCGCTACAAGTGGATGGTGACATTTTTTTATGTTTGGCATAACTAGTTTGACACTGCCTTAGGAATAAACACAAATTCACCTTTCTCTGGCTTGGCAGCTGTTCCAATTTCCTGTAGCCATAGATTAAACATGGCCTCTATTCCCAATAATGCAGGGAATTGCCTTATTAATTGATTCTGCTAGGGACCTTTTGACAAAGCAAAGCAATATGAAGGAGAGAGAGGGGGCACCTCTCATTCAGAATGCTGTCATGGAAACAGGCAGTGGGGTCTCGGTAGGGGAGACATCAATCCCGCCACCCTACATGGGAGGCCTTAGCCCTGGGGCCTGTGTAGCTGCAACAGTTACACAGCTCAAACGGTTATTCATTTAACAGCCCTATAAAAAATAAGGAGCCAATTTAAAAACATACAGAATACCTCAAGGGAGGAGAGGTCGATGAGATCCCCAAAAGGAAACGGTCTGCACCATCGTATTAAAATATAGTAGGTGGGTTTAATAAGTCTGCTTCTGGTTTTATACACTCAGCTATGAACAAGCCAAAGGAATATGCACCAGTTCAAAAGCTAAGAATAATGTAAGCTATACAGGTATCACTAAATGGACTGAAAGATTTCCCTGGAGAGAAGTGGAGACTTGGATTTTCTTCCCTGAAGGCTCTCAGACAGTGTATTCCCAATTTATTTTGATGCAGTATAGCCAAAGGAAATGTTCCTGTGCTAGGAGAGCAGTAGTTTTCACATTGTCTTATGGGGAACCTGGAGGTTTCTCAGAACCTTACCACAGTTTCCTTAACTGATAATGCCAAACAAGTCTCCCTGCAAGACAGCTTGTCTGCAGCTACTTTCCTTTCCTGGTGACAAAGCAGGACAAAGGAACATGGGGTCTGGCTCTCCATTTCATAAGGAATCAATGAGGAGGAAGACCCATGCTCTGAGTGAACTGACGGTATGAGAAAGAACAACAGTTTTGACACTCACATCCTCCATATGTCTTCTCATCTATCTGCTAAGGCATTCTGGCAAAGTGTGACACACACAGTAATGGGGGTGGAGGGGGGGAGTCATATGGGTTGGTAGTCATCTTGCTCCAAGCGGACTGCTAATATTATTGTGCAGCTAGCAATTCACAGAAGTTCTGAACTACAGGGAACCACACACAGTGACAAAGAAACTCTTCCGTAAGCTGTTTGTCTGCTATCATCAGTCTTCTCATAGGGGAAACCAGGATTCCTAAAAAATATGGCTGGAAACCCACTGCCTGGAAATATGCCTCAAAATTTCCACTAAGATGTCAAATCACAACAAGAGGGCTCCTCCCAAGACCAGAAGGTTTCCTGCCTTTGCAATACATCTTGAAGGGACTCTGTGGACGACAAGAGGGCTCCTCAGTAAACAAACATGTGGGCACAGCTCCCAAAGCAAAATGTTCACAACCATGGCATTGTTAAAGCACAATTTTACTGGGTCAAAATAATGGTATTAGTGGTAAGTATATAGCACTTTATTTCAAGTCACTGTCTTTTAAATTGCTGTCCCTGAAATTCAAGTGTACCTCTTCTCTTATCACAAAAGAGGCACCAGTGCTTTTTGACCTCTGAAGAGTGCAAGACATTCCGAGGATATTCCTTATCAAGTGGGGTCCATGAGAAGGTACATGGAGGCTGTGAGGGAAAATTACAACTTGAGCTCCCTGTCAGGCTTCATGCTGAATGGTTCCAGGCGCTCACTCTCTGGCAACATGCTGTTCAGCCGCTCCATCAGAGGAATGGTCAGGTCGATGCCCATCTGGATACGGCGAAGGATGGCAGACATCTCATTGACCTTCTGGATCTGCTCAGCATACTTGGCATATCTTTTCTGGCGCTCCTGCATTAGGCTATAAAGAGTTTCTACCGAAAGATCCATCTGTTTTACAAAGAGGAAAAGAAAAGATGTGGTGGTGCTTAAGTTAAAGGTCACCTTTCACAGAACAGGCAGTCTTTGCCAGAAACCTCTGTAGCCATAATTAGCATCGTGACAGGGTGGCCATTTCTCTTCCTTGACTTTCTAACTACACCACTTCCCCTTGAATTACCACCTCCAAACCCACTCATTGCATCAAATGCTTGGCTGGTGACCAGAGATGGGCATGAAGCAAACTATAAAGCAGATGACAAATCAAGCTGGTTTATAGTTGGGTTCACAACTCATTTTGGGTATCCAGTTTTGCTGAAGCAAAATGAAGCACCGAACCCTTTCCCTCTTGGTGCTTCGTTTTGTTTCAGCAAATGGATGCCTGTCCGCCCCTTCCTACGGCCCCCACTGCCTCCCTACCTCATCCTGCCACCACTACCATCGTCAGAGACAGTGTGTCGGCTTCCTTTCCAGGAGCCCAGCTTGCTGTCTCTGTGCATGTGCACATGCTGGGCACATGCACAGAGGCAGCCCCTCGCAAGGAAGCCAATCCACTGTCTCTGATGGTGGCAGCATCGGCATGATGATAGCATTGGCGGTGCAACAGGAGCAGGCCCCCCCCGATATGAACTATGGTTTTCTGGTTGGTTTGTGACTAAACACTATTTTTCAGGTTCATGCCCATCTCTACTGGTGACACATTTGTAACAAAAGGGCACGTTCCGAGTGAAGCAAAGAGTGGGGTTGACAGCAGTGGAGGCAGTCAGACCAGTTCCAGTGAAGGACATCTATAGATTCACAGGATAATGTTGTTGTTAACCTCAATGTATTGAAATTTTCCTTAGGATCAGTCTTGAACTTCTCCCTCCTTATGTACATGCACCTCTCCTCCCTTCCGTCCTTCTGCAATGGGTCCTAGTTGCTTCTTTCTTCTTTTTCACCACTGTATTTACATTCACCAAAGAAGCTTTGACTCCCTGCTCCCCCCTGAAGGCTTCCACTCCTGCACCTCTGTCACTCAGTCCCCTTTATCTGCATCTTTGCTTTTCCGAAAGTTAGTGGGATAGGAGCATGCAGGCAAAAAGAAAGAAAAGAAATCCAGCCGGGGGGGGGGAGGGAGGACACCTTGAGTGCTGGACAAAGCGGCGAAGGCACACAAGGAGCAAAGAAGACCCCTAGGGAGGAGACCATTTGGGGAGAGAACAGCCTGCGCTCTGAGAAGGCAAGCAGCTGGGCTACCCCCTCTTCTCCAATTCTTAATGGTAACAAGGCTTGCATTTGCATAACTGTTGATGGTCACCCACAGCTAAGTTGGCTTTTCCTCCTCCCCTCTCCTGTAGACCAAATGGATTCTTGCCCTTCATGAAGTGGTGTGCTTCCTTTTGTAATAAACAAAAGATCAGCAGAGCTCCTTTTCTTGGCAGATGAAGACCACAATGTTGGCTGGAGTTTGGGAAAGACTGAAAGTTTGGTGCTACTATCCTCCCAACTGGAATTCTGTCACCATCCCTGCCTCCTGTTCAACAAATTTAATTCAGGGTGTCTGTACGAAGCTCTGGTTTCATGGTACCATCCATGTACCTCACAGAAACATTTCATCAGCCCTCACCGACTTGGCACCCTCCAGATGTGTCAGATGTGGCAAAGGATATTGCCACTTTTATGATTCATGACCTCTTAAAGCAAAACATCAAAACAAAATCTCAAACAAACCAAGAATTTCAGCTGTTAGTCATTTGTGACAAATCTCTGGCAGGCCAAGTTCCTGCTTCCATTATTTAAAACTCTGTCATTCATCAAAAAATCACAAGCATACGCCTCTCATTCAGAATTGGCAGAAATACTCCAAATGCTCTGAAATAATCCACTGCTGAGATAAGTGACTCTTGGAGGAGCTCAGCCAGTCTCTACACGTTTCACTGAGCATACCATTCAGGCCTTCAGTGTTTTTCCGAATGTCCTTGCACATCAAGTCAACCAAAGCATGCTAGACTTCCTACTTCTTCCCATTCCCATTTAGAAGCTCAACAAATAAAGCCTGGCACACAAATACGATTGTTCTGACAGTAGCTTCCCTTTAAGCCAGGGACTGCCACGCCCTCACCACTGGCAATGCTGACTAGGGCTGATGGGACCGGCAGTCCAACCATGTCCAGAGGCGACATGCTCTCCAGCCTGGTTTCAAGCAGGCACCTCCTCGGGACATGTCTCCACATGTTCATGGGGAGCAGCAAGAAAGGAAATGAAAGCAAAAGGAGTTTTTCTGCAGTTAGATGGTGCAAACTTGTTTTTAAAGAACCTGCTTGTGTACTTTTAGAAGAGAAAACCCTGTTAGGTTACTTGTGTAAATAATCTACTCATGGGAATAATGAGCTCTACAAGATCCCATGCACTACTTGCCATTTTCCAGCTCACACGAAAGGACAGTGTCTCTCTCATATATCTGCTGCTTGCATGCTGAGCTATTGATGGTACTAGATCACGGGCATGAGCAGGCTATGTTCCTGAGTTCCAGCCCAACATTTTGACACTAAACCAAACTGACTCTCAGTTTAAACCTTTTGTGTGTTTTATGTGGGAGCTGTAGCCACTGCTTTTCCATCTTCCTCCTTGTGGCTTCTCCCTTTTCACACATGAAACAACATTTAAAAAAAATAGTAGAGCAAGACATTGGGCTGGGCTCAGAAACAATTTAAGCAAAGTGCAGAAGTTTCCACTAACACAATAAAAGTAAATCAGCTTTGATAAGGTTTGTATGCTGGGGTTAGCTTTGTAAATTGGAGCATGGTAAAGCAGACCACCAGCAGGTCAACTGGTGTATGAGTAGAAGCAAATGAAAGCCAATTTTAAAAAATAAAACAAAAACTGGCTGTCCCACTTAATGAGAAGCAGGGCTGCAGAAGCTCAGACACCTCATTAAATGGAGCAACATTACAAATTCAGGAGTCATGAAAAGCCCAAAGGAGTGCCCTAGGATTGATCTGCAACCCTCCACAATGTCCCAATGGATGGAAGCAATGACTATTATTTATTTCGTTTGTTTTAACTGAATTTTAACAAACAGACTTATCCAAAAAAATCATGAAAACCAAAAGATGGTTGTTCTGGATTTTTCTGGCTCTTTGGCAACCTGCTGTCCTCTGAAGATGCCGGCCACAGAGACTGGCGAAACGTCAGGAAGAACAACCTTCAGAACACTACCAAAGAGCCCAAAAAACCCAGAACAACCATTAGACCCTGGCCGTGAAAGCCTTCGCGAATATATTAAAACCAAAAGAATCCAATCCAATAAAATAAAAATAAACAACTCAATATATACATTCAATCAGCCCTAAGAGGTAAAACCTGAAATGCTTAGGAGATAAGAAAGCTTTTTGTTTGCTGACAGATGAAGACAACCATGTGGAGTTCAGTGAGTCCCCTATGGAAAAAGCAAAAGCAAATACTGGTCTCCTGCTGGTACTTCCCATTACTATGTATGGCCAGTGATATCTGACACACAGCAAAAATGCCTGGACTTTAGGTACCCCTGGCTATACCACAGAACGGTGGTAGTCTAGTACGTACAAAAAGGATCAACTCACACAGCTTCGATTAAACCTTTCCTTCAACGTGCAGTAAAGCTTGTGCTCATGACCCAGATATTTCCCCTCACCTCCCCAGCAGTGACTCTTTTCTTCAAAAGGTAGCATCTGAATGTAATTGGCCTGACCATGAGAAAACATGCCAGGCAAGCCAACCCACAGCACACAACACACCAGAGATACCAGGCCAGCCAGGAAGGCTTCCGTTTGCCATTGAAAACTGACTGTTTCCTGGACGAATACCAAGTAGATGTCTGGCTGGGGGGGGGGGACACCAAATGCCTTTCATCTAGGCTGACTTCTCCAAGGCAAGATCCAAGGCCTGCTCCTCCACTTATGTGCACTGACTTGGCCACAACGTGGGCTGAAGACATCCCTGTAATGGTAAATTGAGAAAACCTTTCTCCTCAAATAAAATCTGACAGATCTTGGATCTCTGACAAGAACCACAACTGTACACATATTCTAATTCCACCCAGACACAGACCAGGGTTCAAGATCTTGTGTCAGTGTATGTTTTATTCAAAGAAAGTGTCTGGTCATTGTGGCTGTAGAGACAGGGAGGGGGAAATATGCCTCCCATAAGACCCATCAGCACACATGGCCACTGACCATTCTGGTGATAGGATTCTGGGCGTTCCAATAAGAACAAAAAGGTAACTTTCCCCACATCTGATGAATACAGGCATGCTGCTAGAAAAACCTTAAGAGCCAGAGAAGAGGCCAAACAAACTTTCCACTGGCTGATAACTAGGATCACTCTTCTATAGAATCTCTTCCTCTTACCTGTGATTTGCAAAGAACACAGGAATCTGTCTTGTACTGACTCAGATCCTTGGTCCAGTACTAGACTAGAACCAAGCAAAGAGACAACCAATCAGATGCCTTAATTTAAGTCCCTCCCCTCCCCTCATAAAGGTTCAAGTAAATCCTCCAGCAAGCATCATTTTGCATCAGCCCTGGCTGAGACTTCTTTCTCCATACAGGCGGCTGCCAGCACATGGGACAGAAGCACTTCAAATTCATATAAATTCCTGGGGGATTAACAGGCCTCTTCTCACTTATACAGTGGTACCTTGCTAGACAATGACCCCGCTGTACGACAAATCTGCAGGATGATGAATTTTTGCGATCACTACAGCGATCGCAAAACGATGTTTCCTATGGGGGATTTTCGTTTGACGATGATTAGGTCTGTGCTTTGCAAACCATTTGTTCACAAGACGATGATGTTTTCTGGCTCCGCAAAATGGCTGCCCTGTGTTTTCCAGCCCCATGCTTCGCAGGGCAGCCATTTTAACAGCTGATCGGTGCTTGGAAAATGGCTGCCCCTATGGGCGATCTTCGCTGGACAATGAGTTAATTTCCCCATTGGAACGCATTAAATGGGGTTCAATGCCTTCCAATGGGGAAACTGTTTTCGCTGGA